CTCCCTCTCCCTATAACTCTCTCTCCTCTCCTTCTCCCTATAACTCTCTCTCCTCTCCCTCTCCCACTCCCTGCGACCCTCCCCGCGAATCTTCTTGAGCGAGGTCAATCCAGGTCGAATCGGGTTGAGTCTCGTGGCCTCGAACATGGCACAGACATCTTCCGGGTTGCTTATAAAGACCATATTCGGATGGCCGGGCATGTCTTTGCGGAAGATGGGGCCGAATTCTTGTGCCAGGGAGTGCCAGAACAGGTATACGCGATTCGGGTCGAAGGCTGGGGGGAGGGAGACGTAGGGGGGGGTTAGTTGTCTTTTCTCTTGGTTTTGGCTTTTGTTTTTTGGCTTTTATTTTTGGCTTTTTTTTTTTGTTTTGTTTTTTGGCTTTTATTTTTGTTTTTTGTATTTGTTTTTGGCTTTTATTTTTGTTTTTTGTATTTGTTTTTGGCTTTTATTTCTGTTTTTTGGGGCTTATTTTTGTTTTTTTTTTTCTTTTATTGTTTTTTGTCTTGTTTGTTTTGTTTTCGACTTTAACTTTAGTGTTTTTTGTTTGTTTTAGTGTTTTTGTTTTTTAGTGTTTTTTTTTGTTTTGTTTTGTGTTTTTGTTTGTGTTTAGAGTTTTTGTTTGTTTTTAGTGTTTTTGTTTGTTTTTAGTGTTTTTGTTTGTTTTTTTAGTGTTTTGTTTGTTTTAGTGTTTTTTGTTTGTTTTTAGTGTTTGTTTGTTTTAGTGTTTTTGTTGTTTGTAGTGTTTTTGTTTGTTTTATTGTTTTTTTTTTGTTTGTTTTATTTTTTATTTTTTTGTTTTGTTTGGTTTTGTTTTTTGTTTGTGGATTTGTCTTTTATTGCTTTGTTTGTTTGTTTTGTTTTGGTAGTTACTCTATTTTTCTGTTTGTTACTTTAGTTTTACGTGTTTTTCTATTGCATGTCCTGTCGTTCAGATTTCTTTTTAGAGAGACAGGTGGTGTGGTTAGTCTATTGGTTCTTTGTTTGTTTTCGTGTCTTTTTGTTTATTTGTTTGTGTCTTTTTGTTTGCTTCTTTGTGTCTTTTTGTTTTTCTTTGTGTCTTTTTTTGTTTTTTGTTTGTTTCTTTGTGTCTTTTTGTTTGTTTCTTTGTGTCTTTTTGTTTGTTTCTTTGTGTCTTTGGTAGATTTAAATGTTTGTGTTTGTGCCCTTGAACGTTTTTATATTTGTTTGTTTATTAGAGCTTGTCAGAACAAATAAACGAGGTGTGGTTAGTTTGTATTTGTTTTTGTTTGTTTTTTGTTTGTGTGTTCTCGTTTTGATTGATTGTTTGTGTTTGTTTTGGAGTGTCTTTGAGAGTCGCGTGTTTGTTTGTTTGTCTTTGATTTTTTTTCTGTGTTTGATTTTGTGTCTTTGAGAGTTTTGTTTGTTTGCTTGTTGTGTGTCTTTGAGGATTAGCTTGATATTTTATTTGTTTTGTAATTCCTTTGTGTCTTTGAGGATTTGTTTTGTTTGTTTTTGTTGTATTTGATTTGATTTGTTTGTTCGGTGCCTTGAAATATTTTGTTTGTTTTTGTCTTGAATGCATTGTTTGTCTTTGAGGGTTTGTTTGTATTTAATTACAAAAGTGTACTTGTTTGTTAGTCTTTAAATGTTAGTTGATTCTGTGTCTGTAAGTATTAAATTGTTTTGTGTTATCACTATATTTCTATCAACTGTGTCATTTACCTATTTTTGTTATTATTACAGTTATCATCATTGCAGTTAGTATCATGTACTTAACAGTTTTATCACCATTCTTTGACTTTCTATATCGGACCTAAAATATTTGTGACTTTCTATATTGAACCAAAAATATCTTTTTTATTTTCTATATTGGGTCAGAAATATTTTTGACTTTCTATATTGAACCAAAAATATTTTTGACTTTCTATATAGCACCAAAAAAATATTTTACTTTCTATAGCTGACCAGAAATACATTCGACCCTCTAAAACCTAATCAAAATTCCTTTAACTTTCTACATCTGACCCCTGGCAACCCCTGACCTGACCCCTGACAAATGACCTCTTACAACTGACCTGGGTGTCTGAGCATGTAGGGCAGGCATCCCACAAGGGGCCACGACTTCGGACCGGGGATGAGGGAGGCTGGGAGGGGGGTGGACGTGTCAGGTGGCACCCTCTCGTCGTCGTCTCCAGAGAAGGCCCTCTGAGGCACCGTGGCTTCCTCTTCCTCTTGAAGAAGGAGGACGTCGGCGAACTCCTCTAGGATCTCGTAGGCTTCGAGGTACGGCGTCCCGGGGGCGATCTTGGTCCTCCAGCTGTCGTCGAGGTCCCTGTCGGGTTTTGCGTCTACGTTCTTGAATGTGTTTTTGTCGCCGTTTTTGTTATATTTTTTGTTGTCCAAGTTCTCGCCTAAGTTCGTGTTGAGCTTAAGGTCCTTTTCCCGGCGACTGAAGGAGGTTTTCATCCTCTGGGTGACTTTGGCCCCGGCTGATCCACTGAGAGAGCGAGTGGACGCGTGGAAGAGGGTAGGGCAT